ATAATGATATGCGCGCGACGATTTTATTTTTTGTCTAATTAATGCCCTAGGTTAATGAGAGTGGTGTGATGACCGGTACCTAGGACCTACTGAATTATTTTTTAGCTTGTAACAGATTATCTACATCATTATTATCTTTTTCAATAAAATCGTTTAACTTATAACTTTTTTCTTTTACTTACTTTATTTTCAAGTTCTTAATTTTTGTGTCGTTCCTTAATATTTCTCATTGTTACTCATATTGAAACAAATATAAAATTAGGCATTTAGTGCCGGTGGCTATCTTGGATTTAAAATTTGTCATAGTGTACAGTATTGACAGGTTTACCCATATTGAGGCGGTTGTGAAAAAATATGTAATCCTCCATTTTATAGCGGCGGCCATCTTGCATTTACAATGATATCTACTGATTATCCTAAATTATATTGTCATCAGAGCTAAAGGTGTGTACTACATGTCAGATCAATCTGTCAATAGGAAGGGAGTAAAATTTCAACTACTAAATTTGTCCCAAACAAATAAACAAACAGGTCAAGCTAAATAAAACCGTTTAAAAAGCCATTCCAATTATGCAGTAGCAAAGCTTTTCTTTGCTTGTTAAAGGTATCTTTCAATTGTGTCATCCCTCCTCATTTGATAAAATAACTTAATTATTTAAAATTCACAAATTTCCGAAATAAAATTGGGTTCAAATCAAGTTCAATACTTTGAAGAATATCCCCTAAATTTGGCAGAAACAATTATTTAAACATAATTATTGTCTAAATGTAGAATAAACTTGACTACCTACTTCCTCATTACTTTGTTTTCGACTTTTCACCTGCAACTTTCTACGCCCACATCACTTTTTTCCGTATTGACAACTTTAATGGATGCTATTAATAACTTAAGCCGTGAATTGTGTATATTTAATTCCGAATTAAACATTCATCGTAGATACCTACGGATTTATTTTCAAATGGCTCCTAAAAATAACCTATTCTTTTGACTTTGAGAATAACTGAAATTCGAATTATAAGGTATTGTCCAAATTGGCAAAAATATAAAATAAAATACTATTTACTTAAGCTTCTACTTGTCAGCTCCACTTAAGTGGAAATAAAAGCCTATGCGTACATGCGGAAACAGAAATGAAAATCAGTAATGTTTAAAAGTGTCGGAATATTGTCATTTTAATATTCTTATTTCTTGATATAAAAGAGTTTTATTTCTTAATTTTATAGAAAACAACTCCCAAAGTAGTACCTGCAGACAATAAATCTTGGTCTTTTAATGTGACGGTGTGTCGAATTTTAAAGGCACAGTTTGCTGCGCAACTGTAAGTAAATTAGTGTTAGTAGGTTCGTCAGAAGGTGTTTCAGACACAGATTTTCCCATGCGGTGATGTTTACATCGTTGGTAGCCCAGACCTATCTCTGCAGGACTTCCTCATATATTATATAGGGTTGTATGAAGCATTGCGTGTAGCAAACGCCAGTGCACAATGCTAACGATGTACAGGACCGTGTGATGATCGCTGCAAATGAAATTTGCCAAATGCCTGACGTCTTTGTGCGAGTGAGAAATAATTATGGTAGACGCCTCTTTTGAAGTCTGTTGATAAGTAAGCGATAACTAGTTTGCTATTAACGTTTACCGTAGGCATTGGTCAATCTACATTGTTGAGTTTACATTCCATCCATGCACAGCTGATCAGTTCTTATTACAGTTTGTATTTAAAGGTTTCTTTACTAAACCACGTTAGAAAATTACGCCAAAGGCCGGCTTGGGAGTGTAGGGTTGTAACTTGTGGTTATTATTTAAATTCTTTTGTCCCCTGATCACCCCCAGGGCATTCACCCTGTCGCTATGGGTGGGGTCCAGTACCCATAGAACGGTTTTCTCTCATTGAGCTCATCTGTAATTTAATAATTTCTCATGTGTTTTAACTACATATTATTTGAAATGCTATTCAAATGAAAGTTTAGTAGGGGTTACTAAACATTATATTACGAGGGTTAACTTTGTTCCTCAACACTTGGACTTATTGAACTATCTGAATCCTACACAGCCCAACATATCTCATCAGAACTTTTAAAAGTTCTCTTGGACTGGGATTTCACTACTAACAAGGTGGTAGCTATTATTATCGACAATAAAGCAAACATAGTGAAGGCTGCTTGTGACACATTTGGACAAAGTAAACACATTCCTTGTTTAGCTAGCTCATGCTTTAAAATTAGTTTGTGAAAATTCTACAAGTATTCAATGAGGTACCCCGCGGAAACGAAAAAAACTAATTTTAGATGTTACAATATAGTGGATGTGAAGTTTTTACATGATAGGCAGATTTGTTGAATTGTTCACCTTAGTTGCTAATATTTTATTTGAAATGTCAATACAACACCAATGATACCACCAGTAGAAATTTCACATTTAAACGAAGTCTTTGAGAAAAATAACGAGAGAAATAAATGTGTTAGAGCAATACAAATCAAACATAAAACTATTATCAGAATTAGGGCAAAACTTAAGAACAGTTTGTTGGCTGAGTTGGATAAACGATTTGGGCATATTAACAAATTTAATTTATTAACAACTGCTACCTTTGCAAAATGTAAGACTAAGACCATTACCGAACGAACAAAACCAAGATCGAATAGGCAACACCAAGAGCAAAAACGCAAGACTAATTCCTTCCAATGGATTTATGAGTTAAAGCAACTTTAATATATTCTTTTCTTGGAACAGAATATTTCTAGTATTTGAAATTTTTAGTTTACTTTACTAGATTTTAACACTAAAAAAAAAAGAACAAACTTTACTACTGTTTGAAAAGGTGACCTACAAGAATATCTTCGGGGTAAGTATTCTGTCTGTCTGTCTGTCTGTCTGGTAACACATGGTTGAAATATAGAGAGAAACTAATTTTTTTTCGATATTTCTTTCAAGCACCTTGTTTTGTTCACTAAAGGATCAATTTATGAGTTGGAGGAAGAAAAATTATTAAAAAAAGAGGAAGAATCAGATTAAATGAGCAAGACGAAGACCGAAACAGAGACTATATCAGCAAGACCAAGTTCGAGATCCTATCAGCAAAACCAATTACAAAACCAAAACTAGAAGTATTTGAGCAAGGCCTATACCAACACTGGGACTGTCTTAGTCTTGATCCTGCTCTACTCATCACCAAACACCATGGTTCTGATTGTCCGACAGGTAACTACAAGAGTGTGCATGAAACAGAAACAGACAAAAAAGCTTTCGAGGAGGCCCCTTTATTTTTTGTTTCTTTTCTTTTGAGAAGCACATTTTCAACGAATTTAACTACATTATTCTATATTATCTTTAGGTTCAAATATGCTCGTGTGAATTGTTTTCAGAGCACACTGTTTACGGCACCGTTATAATGCCCTTGTATACACCAGCACTTAGTCTCTGCGTTTTCACCGTCTGCCATTGCTACTTACGAGCTTGATGGTATAATCTGGTTGTACTAATCTAAATACAGGATCGCTTCGAGTTTTGCTGCTATCGTGCTAAAGTGAAACGGCGCTCAATCTTATCGCGCTGCATCGGGAAGCTATACTTCGTTTAGTTTCTCTAGCGATGTGACCTTTAGCTTGACCGGCGCAAAGTAGAAAAGAACAGCACTAGGCAAGAAAACGAAGGAGACAACTCTCGGACAAACTCTCAGTCGGTGACGAGCGTATAATCCGTACAGTACTGCACGGAAAAATTGACCACTTTATCCATTAAAATTGCATTGCTCGAATATGTTGTTGTTGCTACCAATTACTACTGAAAATATCAACGAGATGTTTATTTATATTTGAATACATATTAAAGGTTTTAAAGCTTGTTTTCGACACGCACTGTTATTCATGATTGAACAATACTTTTGGCAAGTACTGTATAAAAAAGTACGTTTAATGTACAAGAGTGGAGAGTGCCTTAGCGGTCAGAATTGTGGTACGACTAAAGAAAGAGATGGAACGAAGTTTCGGACCATATCTATCTCTCTCAGGATAGTGCCGTTGTTAGGACCATCGACGTTTACTAATGGAACTGTGATAGCGGTCAGAATTGTGGTACAACAATAGAAAGAGATGAAACGAAGTTTCGGACAATATCCATCTCTCTCACGATAGTGCGTAAGCGTGTCATGAAAGAGGTAGCACTAGTCCGAAACCATACTCCATCTCATTCACTTTTCGAGCCAAGAAATTATTACAACGACATACTGCTAAGGCACGTCCATTAGTATATGTCTATGGTTAGGAGCCCTGCGCCCGTACTTTAGAGAAGCCAATCGCGTATAATGAAAGAGATAGCACTAGTCCGAGACTATACACCATCTCCCTCACCCTTTTCGAGCCAAGAAATTGTTACAAGCATCGTTTTTAGTAGCAAGTAATATTATTTTTAGTTAATTAGTGTGTATGTGTAGGATTATTAAACGTAGTATACGGTACGGATCTTTTTAATCGACATATACTATTCCTTGGAGTTTTATATTTTGTGTGATCAATTATTGATTTATGTGGTATAGCAGTACACCGACGGGTACAACACAAAATTTTCGTCAAGCTAGTCAAGATCCCCAACAATGGTTCAACCTTACAGCCACTACTGACACACTGATTTTAATACACAAAAGATTTCTTATAATCATTTTATTTTTATAAAATACAAAAATAGAAGTGTGGGAATGCTTCACAACTCGAAATGGTTCTCTTTATTGTACACCGATTGTAACTAAATCAAAGGTAAGAAAACAGATGGGACTTCACTGCACAGACATTAACGTTATATCACATTTTTTTCACTTTAATCTATAGCAATTGTACAGATAAAACACAACGCTTAAAATGTAACGTCAAGTTCGGTATCTTAAATCGAGTTCCATAAATTTACTCGAACTTATCTTAAATGATGTCTATTCGTCCAAGAAAAAAAAAACAACTGAATAGTACGATAGAAAAAGTTGATCTAAATTAATTGCAGTTTTTCAACTTACTTGGCACAAAGGCAGAAATACTTCTCCAATTGAGTCATCTCTGGAGAAGCGGTCGTAATCAAACACGTGTAGATGAAGGACACGAGACTGGAGCTTCTGGATAGGAAATCCTTCAAAGTAAAAAGTTTCGTTCCAACGGGGATTGAGAGTACGTCGCTTTATTTTGGTTTCCAGACGATGTTTCTTATCAGGCAATAGAGTTACCCTTACGTATGGGTCGCTAGTACCTGATAAGTCTTTAGCTGGAAGATCTTTTCCCTGAAAAATAATAAAAAATGTTTGAGTACATGACGTAATTCTTTCACCAACTATAAGGTCTTCTTGTTATTTGTTTGCATGTCAATAGGGAAATTACAGGTTAGTATAGTATCGCTATGTATTCCTAACAGCAAACATTATTTTTTACGTGTTTGTCGACAGGACATTGTTTGAATTCGAAGATGACGGAAAAAAGTATCAGACTATCAATTAACAACTTTAAAATAATTCGAAGTGGTCTGTATTCTGTCTAAACTGCCAGACGCAGATCGCGATTTCGATCTTTTCTTTTTTCTTCGACAGAGCACAGGCCAACTTTTACCTACTGTCTTAACAGTGCGTTTTAGAAAATACTACAAATGGCGCAGTAAACGCCATCTGTAGCACGATGCTACATTTTAGGATTACGTATGATCCAACAAGGTCCACTTGTGTGGATATCTACTTGCTGAAAATGAATCCCGGCGTAGCCAACCTCAACGTGATAGGCACGTTAGCTTAATCGAATAAAATAATTCGAANACGTTCTCTTTAATCGGCTTTGCACGTGCAAGTCATTGATATGATATTGCTTAAATGACCCAGAATCACCTCACCAATTATATAACGTGAATCACTTTTTAAATCCGAAGTTTGTAAAAAGTAGACAGTAAACTTGACGGAATTTGTTATTTCCGATTTATATAATGTGATTGGCATTAAAAACACGCTCACCTTCAACGAAATTTCCTTTCCGAGGCTTTGTGTCAGCGCAATCACATATTGTGTCAATACGTATCATTTTATCGTAATTTAAAAACTTGGAAATTGCACGGTACACTATAGGAACTACGATAAATTTTCCCTAATCGGCGCCATGTTTTTAGGCTCCTCCCATTTGACGGATCCCAATAATCCGAATCTTCATTCTACTTTGGATTCCGGCCGTGAAAGCCTTTGTTCTTATATAAATAGCACTGCAATAAAATTGTACCCTCTGGGTCAACAACATGAACAACAGGAAGTTTAGAAGCAAAGGGCTAGTTTTCACCCCCGTATAGATTAATAAGTAGGTACGGCCTACCTATTTTGAGTAGATACATAAATATAGTAGTTTTAAGATTTGAACATTAGAATTCATATAACTTCCATCAAAACATTCATATCAATATTGTACAAACATTTTATCCGTTCAGCATTTCATATTACTTTCATTTCAATTTTTTTTATATTAACATTTTATACCGTAACTTTTGCATTTATTTATATATCGTTAGTTTGTTATTAAATAATTTAAAAGTAACAAACAGTTTTTTAATTCACATCACTTCGAAATACTCTGGTGTTAGTGATATCACTAGAAGTGTAAACACCAGGTTTGCACGATTTTACACTACTTTTTTTAGTCTAAATTTATTCTCGCCAATGCAATAAAATGAAGAGTCCTTGAAGCTTAACAGTTTTAGACACTATTCCTTCAAGTCGTTCTTTATGACAACATAAACTCAACTTTCATACAATCAAGGAACCATTCACCTCTTATCAGATAATTTGGTGCAGTGAAGTCCCATTTCACCGTCACAATTTCAAGCTATTAGAGTCGGTAGTGGTAGTTGTGCAGATGACTTCTGCATTGAGATGGCAAACAATTCGGAAGTTTCGTGCGGATATTAAAATGTTCACGGAAAACTTGGAGACTGCATCACTGGAATTTTCGTTCTTATATTTGCTTCATCTCGATGCAGCGATATCTATTTCGAATCTACCTCAAGTACATTATTTTAATATAAGAAGAAATAGCCATGATCCCTTGGGATAAGTAAATTTCAATTCCGGAAAAATTGTGTTTTCAAATTTAACTATAAGGAGATTGGGATCCTCCAATAAGTGCTATGTATTGTTATTGAATTTACATTAACCCTCTGTGAACGAGCTAGTCTCATCGAAGAATAACTATACTGCAACTTTTAGTAATTTAGTTTCCTACTACATTATAGCGGATATGAGAAGGGTGGGAGAGTTGGTGCAGTAAAATTCCCTTCGCATCCGAAGACGAGAGGTGTCTAAACGTCATATTTTTGATAAATAAGGAAGCCAATTTTTAAGGAGACCATTTGAATTTTTGTAGGGTTAAATTAATCAATTTGAGGTTATTTGTAGTGGGTAAAGTTATTTCAAAAATTAATTCACTAATGTATTGAATTTAACTCTACCAAAAATTCAAAGTGTCTCATTACTAATGATGATTAAACATTGATGCTGTGTTTTCTTCCGCGCTTTTTGGCCGTGGAGTCTCACCTTTCCAAACGTTTCGGCGTTCTTTGCTGACGGCACCTTCAGTGGTGACTGGGCAGGTGCTGAGTCGTAACAGATGCACTTTGAAAAAAAACTTTTGGGTGTTTCATTTCCACCAGCCAGTAATGCTGGTGGGCGGGCAGTCCCTCCGGACTATGCCGGAAGATAGGGAGGAAGGCCCTCTTCAGCCTGCTTTCAGGAATCGTGGGAATGGGTGGGTGGTGGTTCGGGTGAGAACGATGAGACGGACGAAATGAAGACAGAAGAGAATAAAAGATAATTTGTGGAATATTACTGCCCCAGCATTTGCCTAAGTGATCCAAGGAAACCACAGAAAAACTTTGACCAAGACAGACGGACCCGGAATCGAACCGGCGTCCTCCCGAATGCTAAGCAATGGTCTAGACCTCCAGGTCATGCCGCTCGGTGATGCAGTTTGAGAACGGCAACACTTCTTATACTGGAGTCGTTACGGTATGTGGTTTTATGGTTCACTGCGTCTATGTAAATACGTTATACATAAATATGTTTACATAAAAACAACATGGACGCTGTGAACCATAAAACCACTTAACTTTTACATTGTATCAAATTTACTTGTTATGTTTATTAATAAAAAATTGATAATGAAATTATTCTAATGCGTAAGTGTAGGCTTTCATGGCCGGCATCTTCAGTATTGCTACTATATTTCGGGCTTGTTTGGTGTGGTCGTTCCAATTTTACTCCTGGGGACTACTGCCAAAAAGTTAGGAAAATACTAGTAGTGATAAATTATCCTAAATTATTTAAAATTTACTTCAATTTGAAATTAAATTAATCATTAAAAGTTTCTTTTAATATCAGGTTAAAGTAATTTTATATTTTCAAATAACCCTTTTTGCGGCGTCTTAAAATTAATTTAAAACGATCATTGCATCATCATCATCATCATAAGGTAGTCAGTCCTAAACTAGAACAACCCACATCTTTAACTATTTACGAACAGTAATCTAATCTAGGTCTACCTCTATCCCTCTTAAATCCCGTTTCTGCCTCTGATATGTCTCTGACTAGACCTTCATGCTCGAGAAGGTGTCCTACTAACCTATCTCGCCTACTCCTTATTGACTTCCATAGAGTCCTCTGTTCTCCTATTCTTTCTAATACCTCCTCATTTCTAACCTTCTCTAATCACGGTATACACCCTTAACAATCTTTATCAAATTTCTAAATTAACCGTTCGCGAGCACAGAAGTAAATTCTTTTTATTTAAGGCGACTCGACCCTGCGCTATCCTCTGCTTTATATCCCAACTACTTCTTCCGTCCTGACTTATCTGACTTCCTAGATACCTAAAATCAGTCACTTCTTCTAATTTTACGTCTTCTATCTTTATATTCGTTGTTTCCCTACTTTTCGTTTCCTTGCATCCCAGTATTTCTGTTTTACATTTATTTATTTTCATACAGATACTACTATAGCAGTAGTAGTCTGCAAATCGAAGCATAGTAATCTTTTGCTTGCCAACATTCCAAAATCTTTTAGCATTCCCTTATTGTTAATACTAAGTCATAAGTAAAAGTGAAAACACTTACACACTACTATAGTTTGTTCCGGTAATGGACAGGAGTCTGTACATATTACATGCTCAGTTAAATATTTTCTCATCGGCACCTACGAGGGTGGATTGATAAGTTTCCGGCCTGACCAAGAAAAACAAGGTTTTTAAAAATTTTTTTTTTTATTTCTCAACATAATCTCCTCCAAGGCTGATACATTTCTCATAGCGGTGTTCCAGTCTATTAATGCCATCTCTATAGACTGATTCGTCAAGCTCCTCAAAATAACCATTTACAGCTTCGATTAC